TAGCTAGTACAGAAAGAATGACAAATGACAGCAAATCTTCAACAGCTACAGCAGTCAAACATGATGCAGCAGCAGTAGCAGCACTAATCAGCAGGCAGGCTTTGTTTAAAGCTTCACTTTCACCTACAGTACAGTGAATTTTTCTCTGGGACAATAGCCTCATAGATTAAAGAATTGATTCATGTTTTCATGACAAAGTAATTATGAGTTCAATCCCTGGGTTGGGCAGTGTAGACTTATACTCAATGAAAATGAGTGAGCATTAACTGAGCAGTACTAAAAATAGCAACTAGATGAGATATCCTTAGATATATGGAATAAGAACAGCCTATTCCCAATAGATTAAATAAAGAGTTCAGTTCAGAATCCCCTGTAGGTTACCCAGATTGATATACACTTGATGAAGGCCAGAGAGTACATCAGCCGAAATGTGATGACAACATAGATGAGGACAATAGTCTGAATGTAAATGTTGTAAATAAAGTTTCAGAATAAATGCGACTCTATCATAAACGGAATAATGCGGATTGTTTGGATCAGTGAATGTGACAAGCTAATTTAACACCAGTACAGTAATAATAAGCATGTCTCCCTATCCCCTAATTTTATGCTATGCACCATTCTTTAATTATCTTAAAACATATCTAAGAAAAATATTGTTGATTGTATACAAAGCTCCATGTTGGAATCCAGTCAGTTAAGTGTCATATGTGATACACGCTTGGATGATCATACGTCATTTGATTCATGACTGATAAGGAAGAAAATTTTCTTGCAGTAGGTTGCTGTTTCTTTCTGTGGTAGATTAGTTGCCAACCATGGCTACAGAGCCCAGTCTGTTCTGCTATTCAACCCATACATGATACACGACTGACGAGGCAGAAGATTTTTTCGTAGTAGGCTACCATTTCTTTCTGTGGTAGATTGGTTGCCAACTGATGCTACAAAACTCAGTCAGTCCTGCTATTCAACCCATAGCTGAGGATTGGGAAGAAGAGATTGATTCATGCCTTTCTGAAGGGTATTTACACATCAGTGATTTTAACAAACCCAACTGGAATTTGAACTGACTCTTTGATTTCTCATTTTGAGTTGTTAACCATTACACCATATTGCACATCATTGACATTAAAATTTGAATAAAGATATTGAAAAAATTCTTCATGACCCATTTTGTTAATGGATCCTTCTCTAAATATATGGGCAGCAATCCCTCTTTTATACAAATCTTATTAAAGGCGACTGACAAGATACAGTGATTAAACTTTTCATTCAGTTTTTCTTATATTTATATAAGTGATTCCTTTTCTGGACATAAAGTGTGTAAAAACTGTTTGAATACCATTTGTAAATTCACGTCCTTTAAGGAAATGAGTTCCTTATCAAACCAATTTCATGAATAATTATATTGGACATACCACTACAAGACGACTCGTGTTACATCTCTCTGACCATAGTTCAATTAGGACTTCCGTAAACAGACATGGCAATCTACCAAACTACATCCACAACATACTCGTAGTAAATACAGACGTAATAACCTCATCCAGATGTAAAGAAGGCTAAAATAATGGGAGTGTTAATAATAAAAAAAGAAAACACCAACATGAACATGGCCACAATGTGCTGACAGTGTCTGGAAAAAAACTAAACAAGAAAACATTACTATTACTCTAGTATGGTAGAGTAGTGGATAGCGGTTTGGACTGAGGAATTGGAGAGCTGAGTTTGAATTCCAGTTAAATCCATTACATTCACTTATGTGCTAATACCCTTGGGAAAGGTATGAATCCTCTTCTTTTCCCCCCAGCTATGGATAAATAGCAGGACAGACTGGGTTCAATAGCCTTGGATGGCAACTGGTCTACCGCAGAAAGAAATGACAACCTACTGCGCGGGGGGTGGGGGGGTGGAGGGGGTTAACTGCCTCGTCAGTCATGTATGGAAAGATACATGATCGACTAAGCATGTATTACACATGGCACATAACTGACTGATATACATTCAGTTAAAAATTAAGATAAACAAAAACATCCTTGAAAATGGCTAATAGAATATCTGAAAGCACTTGGATATATAGAACATTTAGCCAGTTTTTACATACTTGTTGTCCAGAAAAGAAATCACTTCTATGAACACAAAAAAAATTGAATAAAAAATCTTAATTGCAGTACTTTGTTAGTCATCTTTATTGAAACTTGTATTGTGCAAAAGTGAACCCCTAAAATAATATTTAAAATAAGTCTCCTTTTTTTCTAGATAATCAACAAATCTTAAACTATATATTGAGTAAGAAAAACCTTTATTAAATCAGTTACAACCACTTTGAAAATTTTTTTATCAAGAGGTAATAAAAATATTAATTAAAAATATATATCCAGGTGAGAACAAATGAAGTATAATTCCACCTCACTGTCCATAACATTTAAAAGAGGGCTCAATACAAAGTAGAGCTAAATATTATTTATTTGTAGTGTTGAAACACAATTACTATTGTGTAGCGATTTTTTTTTTAACATATTTTTGTTTTAATCTTTGATAATAATTTTATAT